AGCCAACTGTAGGCCACTTTGTGTTCTTCGTGTTCCCAGAACACAACTCCTGCAGCAAATTCTGATTGCCCGGAGCCAGCCGTGGGCCACTTCGTGATCTTCGTGTTCCCTGAAGACAAGTCCTGTGCCATATTCTGAATGCCCGAGATGCGGCAGGCTGAGGCCGAGGCAGGCTGAGGCCGAGGCAGGCTGAGGCTGAAGCTGAGGCACGCCGAGGCAGGCTGAGGCTGAGGCTGAGGCTGAGGCAGGCTGAGGCTGAGGCTGAGGCTGACGCAGGCTGAGGCCGAGGCTGGCTGAGGCTGAGGCCGAGGCAGGCTGAGGCTGAGGAAGGCTGAGGCTGAGGCTGAGGCAGGCTGAGGCTGAGGCTGAGGCCGAGGCATGCTGAGGCTGAGGCCGAGGCAAGCCGAGGCAGGCTGAGGCTGAGGCTGAGGCTGATCCTGAGGCAGGCTGAGGCTGAGACAGGCTGAGGCTGAGGCTGAGGCTGAGGCAGGCTGAGGCTGAGGCAGGCTGAGGCTGAGGCCGAGGCGCGCTCAGGCCGAGACAGGCTGAGGCTGATACTGAGGCTGAGGCTGAGGCTGAGGCCGAGGCAGGCCGAAGCTTAGACAAGGTGAGGCTGAATGGGGGGGGGGGGGGGGGGGGGGGGGGGCTGAGGCAGGCTGAGGCTGAGACAGGCTGAGGCCGAGGCATGCTAAGGCCGAGGCTGAGGCGAGCCGAGGCAGGCTGAGGCTGAGGCTGAGGCTGAGGCAGGCTGACGCTGAGGCAGGCCGAGGCTGAGGCTGACGCAGGCTGAGGCCGAGGCAGGCTGAGGCTGAGGCCCTAGGCTGAAGCAGGCTGAGGCTGAGGCCGAGGCAGGCTGAGGCTGAGGCTGAGGCAAGCCGAGGCAGGCTGAGGCTGAGGCTGAAACTGAGGCAGGTTGAAGCATCCGTAGGTTTCCATCGGAATCTTTAGGAATCCCTAGGAATCCTGAGGAATCCGTTGGCATCCTTAGAAATCCGTAGGCATAGTTAAGCATCCTCAGGAATCCTTAGGAATCTTCAGGATTCCATTGGATCCTAAGGCCGTTGCCACTGCGACAGTCATTGCGAATGCGACTGCGACTGCGAGAACAGCAGAATTCTACAACTGGATTCTCACCTGAATCTTAAGGGGAATGCTTCCGCACGATTGCCCCTACTCCAGAAACCTCCCCTCCTTGCCGCCCCAACCCTTCCCCGCTCTTCCCTCCCTTCCGCCTACCATCTCGCATGACTCCCCTTTCATCCCTAACTTCCCCTCTTCGTTTCTCCTCTCATCCTCTCCCGCTCTCTCCGTGCACTTCGCACGCGCATGGCGGGTGACCGCCGCGACGCGAGCGACCCGGCCCGCGCAACGTGCCGCGCGTGGCGCGGCGCGGCGCGCTTGGGCAAGACCTCGCACACGCGCAGACCGGGGGCCCCGCGAGCGGCACCGGCAACGCAACGCCACGCACGCGGCACCACGCAGGCCGCGCACGCGGTGCCGCGCACGCGGCACCGTACGCAAACACCGGGCACCTCGCGCGGCAGCACGCACGTGGCGCTATTTGCGCGGTGCCGCGCCGGCACGCAGCACGACGCGCATCGAACTGTGCACCGCGCGCAAGGCACGCACGCGCACGCGAAAGAAGCACCGCGCAACACCGCGCCCGCAACTCCAGGCACATGGACACCACAAATTCAACGTCGGCTGCAGAAGCGGCGGTGCGTTCGCGGCACCTCGCGTGCGGCGCCGCGAGGAAACGCCACAACCTCGGCGCCGACCGCGGGGCGCCGCGCGAACGGCACAACCCGCGCTGTACCGCGCGCGCGGCACAGCACGCAACGCAGATGCCCAACTTGGGGCGCGCGTCGGCAACGCGACAGCAGCTGATGAAATTATCCCAGAGCGACCCTACCTAGGACTTGGAGCCCCTAGGAGAGCAATATTAATAGTAACGGTAAACGCCGTTCTCCTCCTTCTCCTCATCGTCGCAGTTGTAGCAGTAGCGGTAGTAGTAGTGCTATGCTATGCTATGCTATCCTGCGCTGTGCTATGCTATGCTTTGCTATGCTGGGCTATGCTATGCTATGCTAGGCTATGATATGGCATTATATGCTGCGCTATGCTATGCTATGCTATGCTATGCTATGCTGTGATATGCTACGCTATGCTATGCTATGCTATGCGATGCTGCGATGTGGTATGAAATGCTATGATATGTTATGCTATGATGTGATGTGCTGTGATATGCAACGCTATGCTGCGTTGTGCGATGCTAAGCAATGCTATGTTATGCTATGCGATGTAATGCTATGATATGCTATGCGATGTCATGCTGAGCTATGCTATGTTGTGCTATGCTATGCTATGTTATGTTTGGCGGTGTTATGCCATGTTATGCTGTGCTCATGCTGCGCTGCGCTATGCTGCGCTAAGCTAAGCTAAACTAAGCTAAGGTATGTTAAGATAAGTTAAGCTAAGCTAAGCTAGGCTAGGCGAAGCTAAGCTAAGCTACACTAAGCTAAGCTAAGCTAAGCCATCCACAACTCAGCTAAGCCAAGCTAAGCTCAGCTAAGCTAAGCTAAGATGAGCTAGGCTACGCTTAGCTAAGCCAGGCTAGGCAAAGCTAAGCGCAGCTAAGCTAAGCTAAGATGAGTTAAGCTAAGCTAAGCGCAGCTAAAACAAGCTAAGCTAAGCTAAGCTAAGCTAAGCTAAGCTAAGCTGGGTGAACCCAGGGGGCGGGGGCTGGGGGAACCGCGGGGCGGGGGCTGGGGGAACCGCCCGGGGCGCTTTGCACTGCCCGGCCCCTTTAAGCTAAGAGAGCAAGAACCCTCTAGGCAGAGCCTTGGCAGGGGAAAATCTCAACGAAAACAGAAGACTTTTTTTTTTTTGAAAAAAAATCGAGCGGGGGATTTGCAACGTCGCCCCCAAAATCGGCTTGGGGGGCGGGGCCTCATGGGCGGCGGTCTCTCGGGCCGCGCGCCGAGCGACACTTCGCTCGGAGCGGGCGCCTTGCCGCGCAGACGCAGACGAGCCCCGCGCGCGCGCGCGCAGCGCGGCGCCGCGCGGCACAGCGCGGCGCGACTCGAGACGGGGCGTCGCGGGACGGCGCGCGCGCGCGGCGCGGCGCGGCGCGGCGCGGCATGCGGCGCGACATGGCACCGGCCACAGCACGGGCCCTCGCGCGCGCGCCGCCATATTGGATAAGAGCGGAAAGGGGTGGGGGGTAGCGAAGGGTGCGCGGCGCCCTCCCTCTCCGCAGCCCCGAGGAAGGACTGGAAGTGCCGCGACGTCATGGCCTTCTTCAGGGCCGCCGTGTCCTCGCACGGCGGCGGGGGGAGGGCGGGGGCGCGGGGGGGCGGCGACGGCGCGGCCACGGACGGCGACGGCGGCGGCGCTGCTGCTGCCGCCACCGACGACGACGGCGACGCCGACGACGGGGCGACGCCGACGCCCTGGCGGACCAAGGAAGGGGGGGGGGAAAGGGCCCCTCCCACCCCCGCGCCCGCGCCCCGCGGTCCAGGTGGTGCTTGTCGTCGAGCGACGCGGCCGCCGCCTGGAGGCAGGTCTTGAGCCCCAGGGCCACGGGGTCCGAGGGGCGCTCGACCACCTCTCGGATCGGTGGCGTCGCGCCGTTCGCTCGGCCGCTGTCGTCGTCGTCGTCGTCGTCGTCGTCGTCGCTTGTGGTTGTCCGCGGTCGTCCCGCCTGGCGGCCCGCAGCTTCCATGTGGAAGCTGAGGAGCTCGCGGAAGGCGACGTCCAGCCCCTGCACCCACGAGGGGGTGACCTTGACGATCTCCTCCTGGGGATGGATCGTCGTCCGTCGTCCCACCGCGCCCCTCCCCACCGCCCCTGCCCCCGCCCTCCGCGCGGCACAACACGGCACGGCGACGCGCGGCACGGCACGCTTTGGCGCTGCGTGTGGTTGGGCTCGCCAGTGGCTCATCGAAGAGGGCCAAGTGCAGCCCGTCGCCGCTCCCAGGCTGCTTGGCCAAGTACAGGGCGGCGATCGCCCTGGGGTCGGCCAGGCGGTCGACGCCGACCGCCTCCCCGTTCAGCGTGAGGAGCGCCGCGAGCCGTGGAAGGTGCGTCCGCACCAGGGCCTGTGCGCGACCAAAGGCGAGCCCGACACTTATGCCCAGGCGGGTTCCGCAGGGGCGGGGGCCCAAGAGGCCCCCAATATCGTCCCAAGATAGCCCAAGAGGCCTCCGAGAGGGCCCCAAAACGATCCAAGAGGGCCCCAAGACAGCCCAAGAGGCTCCAAGACGGCCCAAAACGACCCCAAGACGGCCCCAAGAAAGTGCCCAGACGGGGGGACCCGAACGGACATTTCGAGCTCTCGGCCTGAGAGGCCCCCAGGAAACGCCAAAGAGCACCCAAGACGCCCCAAACAAAAACCCCGCGATGCGCCCGGGAGGCCCAAAGAGGCCCCCGGGAGCCTCCCAACCCCGAGAGGCTCCCAAGAGGCCCCGAAATGACCCCCCAGAGGCACCCGAGAGCGCTCCGAAGAGACGCCAAGAGGCATTCCTGAGGACTCTGACCCACGTCGGCATCGTCGTCGTCGTCGTTCAGGGTCGGCCGCACCGGCCGCTCAGGGCCTCTCCAACAAGGAGCGAAGGGGCGCTCCTGGCCACGGCGAACGTCGGCCACGAGCAGCTCCCACGGCCCCACGCTGAGGAGCGGCCCGAAGGACCCGAGCCCCTCCCGAGCCCAGGGTGGTCATTCACTGTTCCAGCGTCCGTCGGGGCCTCCAGGGTGGGGTCGGAGGATCGCGCCGCATCGCAGATGCATCGCCGATGCATCGCCGATGCGTCGCTGAGGTCGGCGTTGCATCGGCGGCGCCGACGTGGAGAACATCGGGCTCCACATCGAGCCGCATCGCCGATGCAGCGGCGATGCGGAGCGATCCTTCGATCCCATCCGCTCGGACCCCGTCTGGGGGGCCCAAAGCCTGGCCTGCGGGCAGGACGATTCAACTGTATGCGGCGGAGTTCTCCCGGAACCGGCGAGCTGGGGGCCCGCCGCTGACCAGCTGGCCCGAGGCGCGGACGTCGCGAGGATCGGGAGGCCCACCTGCTGGGGGGAGGCCGAAGCAGGGCAGGGCGGCGCTCGTGGGAAGCCGGGCCCCCCGAAAGCGCAGGCTCCACGCCGTGCTCCTCGATAGCTGCGGGGCCCGGCACCGAGAGTCGAGGGGGCAGCGACGGGGGGGGGCAGCTGGCTCAACTACGCGTCCGAAGGGGGCCCGGCCTTCTCGGAAGGCGGCGGGGCTGCTCAGAAGCCTCCTGGCCTCCTGATGAGGCTCAGGCTTGGGCAGCTTCTCGGGCCCAGACCCCCGAGGCGACGATTTGTGCATGGCGTCAAGCCCCAGAGGTCTCGGCCGATTCCCCATGACGGGCGTTCCATCCCGAGTCGTCTTTTGACGGTCCCGAGGCCCAGCAGGGGCCCCCAGAGGCCGAGAGCAGCAAAAAGCCTCCCGTCGTGATTTGTTCCATGACCCGATGGGGGTCTGGGACGGCGGGAGGCCTTCCGAGCCTTCTGAGATGGCCCGCCCAGTCGGCCTTCCCCCTGGGCTCGCCGCCGAGCCGTGGGGGGCGCACTGCGCTTGGATTCAGCAAGGGAGGGTCGCAGGTATAGATCGGCGACCTGCCCCCCGATACGCAAGCAAGCACCGCACGTCCCCAGGCGGGGAGAGGGGCTCGCAGGCTCCGACCTGGTGAAGTCGGGGATCGACTGGCCCGGGTCAATTCCTCCTCCTCCTCCTCCTCCTCCTCTTCCTCCTCCGCCTACGACTCCTCCTCCTTCTCCTCCTACTCCTCCTCTTCCCCCATTCCCCCCTGCTCCTCCTCCTCCTCCTCCTCCCCCTCCTCCTCCTCCTCCTCCTCCTCCTCATCATCATCATCCTCCTCCTCCCGGAACCGCCCGCGAGGCGTCTGTATCGGGGATCTACTGACCCGGGTCATTCCAGACCCAGGTCAGTCAGGCCTTGCAGGATCCTACAGGCTCCTGCAGGATCCTGCACCCAAGCCTGGGTCAGTGCACCCCTGGATCTGCAGGATCCTGCAATTTCAAGCGTTCTGACTCACCCCCGTTTGCATCGACCCTCGTCTCTAGAGCCCCGAAGAAACCAAAAGATACCGATACCGCTACTCCCCAGACTTCTTCCGGGGTGCGTTCTGACTAAAGTTCTTAGGCGAATCCAGCGGTGATGCCGAGGGCCTCCGAGGAGGCCCAAAAAGGCGAAAACGGGGCGAGGATATCGGTATGGGTACCTTTTCCTGTCTGACGACTGGCGATGAATGGGCCTCCCAGCGGTGGCGACGAGGGCCTCCCGGGAGGCCCCCCAAAGCGGGAAACGAGGGAAGGGCAGCAGTATGGGTGCCTGCTCCTTTGCCCGATGACTGGCGATGAGAATGGGCGGCGGCGGGGGGCCCGTGCTCGCTCCCCCCCCCCGGGCAGTGCCCCTGCCGCTGCCCCCAGAGAATGCTGGCCCCCGGCAGCAAAGAGGGCCGCGGCAGGGCTGGACCTAAGCGTCGTTGCTCGTGGTGCTCTCGTGTTGTTGTTCGTCTTGCTCTGCCCCTGTTTTCCGTTTTGCTTTGTGTTTCCGCTGCCCGTTCTGTGCTTCGCTTTGCTCTGCCGGCTTTTTCCTGTGCCTCCCTGCCAAAACCTACAACATTATCCCGGCAAAGCAACCTAACAGCGATGTGTAGAAGCATATCTGAAAGCATTCCCCTTAAGATTCAGATGAAAATCCAGTTGTAGAATTCTGCTGTTCTCGCGTCGTAGTCGCATTCGCGATGACAGCCTGCGGCGCCGGACAGTTCGCAGTCGCAGTCCACGGCCTCACCTGCCCCGCCCTCACCTCAGCCTGCCTCAGCCTCAGCCTGCCTCAGCCTCAGCCTCAGCCTGCTTCAGCTCATCCTCGTCTGCCTTCAGCCTCGGCCTCATCCTCAGCTGGCCTCACCTCAGCCTGCATCAGCCTCAGCCCAGCCTCGCCTGCCTCACATCAGCCTGCTTCAGCCTCAGCCTAGCCTACCTTGACTCAACTCAGTCTGCTTCAGCCTCACCTCAGTCTGCCTGCAGCCTAGGCTCAGCCTCAGCCTGCATTCAGCCCTCAGCCTGCCTCGGCCGCAGCATCAGCCTCCTCAGCATTCAAAATGTGGCACTGAATGGAGTTCTGTGAACTAGAAGACACGAAGGGGCTAACATCTGGCTCCGTGCATTCAACAAAATCATGCCCAGGAATGGAGTTCTGGGAACTCGAAGACCACGAAGTGGCCCACAATTGGCTCCGGGCATCCAAAAATGTGGCCCGGGAATGGAGTTCTGGGAAGTCGAAATGCACGAAGTGGCCTACAGTTGGCTCCGGGCATCCAAAATGTGGCCCGGGAATGGAGTTCTGGGAGCACCAAGAGCGATTTTGCGAGGATGTCCCAAGCGATTTCGGCTTCGGCGGCAGCCGATCCGGGTCCCGCCCAGACCCCCCTGAGGAGTCATGATGCTCTCTTTTGAAACCACTAGAAACCTATCAGCAAGAGCTGTTAGGTAAAAAGACGAGACACAGCCGAAGTCCAGCAGAACAGCGTTCAGGTCCAGCCTTATGTTGCTCCCATCGTACTGAAGGGCCACATCCCAGAAATGATTTCGAGCACCCAGAATAGTGTCGAAACAGGGTCGAACGAGTGTCGCCTCCCAGGGCCCGACACGTGAAAACCCTCCAATTTCGGCACTTTCTTGGTGCCCGAGATTCTTTCAGATGATCGAGGCTGCAGTAGGTTGGAACATCATAAGTTTACGTCGGGCCTGTCCCCCTACAGGGGGATTTTCGACGAAAAATAAAAATTACCCAAATATTGATAATAATAATGATATTTAAAAATAATTATTCCGGCGAAGCAACCTAACAGCGATGTGTAGAAGCATATCTGAAAGCATTCCCCTTTAGATTCAGAAGACTCCTCCTCCTCCTCCTCTTCCTCCTGCTCGTCCTCGTTCTCGTCCTCCTCGTCTTGCTCGTCCTCCTCCTCCTGGTGCTCTCTCCTCCTCCTCCTCCTCCTCCTCCTCCTCCTCCTGGTGGTCCTCGTTCTCCTCCTCCTGGTGCTCTCCCCCCCCTCCTCCTCCTCGTCCTCCTCCTCCTCCTCCTCCTCGTCCTCCTCCTCCTCTTCCTCCTCCTCCTCCTCCTCCTCCTGGTAGTCCTCCCCCTCCCCTCCTCCTCCTCCTCCTCCTCCTCCTCTTCCTGGTCGTCCTCGTTCTCGTCCTCCTCGTCTTGCTCGTCCTCCTCCTCCTGGTGTTCTCTCCTCCTCCTCCTCCTCCTCCTCCTCCTCCTCCTCCTCCTCCTCCTCCTTTTCCTCCTGCTGGTCCTCGTTCTCCTCCTACTGGTGCCTCTCCCCACCCCCTCCTCTCCTCCTCCTCCTCGTCCTCCTCCTCCTCCCTCCTCCTTCATACCCTCCTCCTCCTCCTCCTCCTCCTCCTCCTCTTTATCCTCCTCGTCCTCTTTATCCTTCTCCTCCTCCTCCTCCTCCTCCTCCTCCTCCTCCTCCTCCTCCTCCTCCTCCTCCTCCTGGTAGTCCTCCCCCTCCCCTCCTCCTCCTCCTCCTCTTCCTGGTCGTCCTCCTCCTCCTGGTCGTCCTCCTCCTCCTGCTCGTCCTCCTCCTCCTCCTGCTCGTCCTTCTTCTCCTGCTCCTCCTGCTCCTCGTCCTGCTCCTGCTCGTCCTCGTCCTCCTGGTCTTGCTCGTCCTCCTCCTCGTCGTGCTCTTGCCCCTGCTGAAAATGTGGCCCAGGAATGGGAGTTCTGGGAAGTCGAAGAGCACGAAGTTGCCTACAGTTGGCTACGGGCATTCAAAATGTGGCCCGGGAATGGAGTTCTGGGAACTCGAAGAGCACGAAGTGGCCTACAGTTGGCTCCGGGCATTCAAAATGTGGCCCGGGAATGGAGTTCTGGGACTCGAAGACCACGAAGTGGCCTACAGTTGGCTCCGGGCATTCAAAATGTGGCCCGGGAATGGAGTTCTGGGAAGTCGAAGAGCACGAAGTGGCCTACAGTTGGCTCCGGGCATTCAAAATGTGGCCCGGGAATGGAGTTCTGGGAAGTCGAAGAGCACGAAGTGGCCTACAGTTGGCTCCGGGCATTCAGAATGTGGCCCGGGAATGGAGTTCTGGGAGGTCGAAGAGCACGAAGTGTGTGACTGTTTGCTTAAAACGACTTCTGCGGCACCCTGTCCGGCACCCGCCCGGACCCCCCTGTGGAGTGATCTGTGAGCTCTTTTGAGTCAACTAGAAACCTATCAGTCTACGCTGTTAGGTAATATATAAATTATCCCGGCAAAGCAACCTAACAGCGATGTGTAGAAGCATAGCTGGAGGCATGCAGCAGCAGTGACAGTCACAGTAATAGTAGCAATAAGAAATCAACGCACGGAATTTGAATGGATGTGTGTCCAAACGAGACACTGCTATCAACGCACGGAATTTGAATGGATGTGTGTCCAAACAAGACACTGCTATAAACGCACGGAGCTTGAATGGATGTATGTCCAAACGGGACACTGCTATCAACGCAAGGAATTTGAATGGATATATGTCCAAACGAGACACTGCTATCAACGCCCGCAGCGCACCCCCTTGTGTTATGTGCGTGTGTGTATGGGTGTGCTGTGTATGCTGTGTGGTGTGCCATGTTGTTTTGTGATGTGCTGCGGCACTGTGTGTGCGTGCTATGTGCTGCGGCACTGTGTGTGTGTGTGCTGTGTGCTGTGCGTGCTCTGTGCTATACTGTTCATGTCCGCGTTGATGATCGAAGGGAACAGTGGACGTGGGTGAAGACGATAATCTGGCATCAATGTATGATTTTTCTGGCAGGGAGTCACGGCCCAGAAGAATCGAAGTGTCTGCGCAGAAGACAGCGCTGCCCCATCAGCACCGACGTGTCTAGAAAAGCTCGAAGTGCATGCGAAGAAAACAGTGCTGCCCCATCAGCACAGACGCGTCTAGAGAAGCAACCGCGGGCTGAGAAGCACCGCGGGCTGAGAGGCACCGCGGTGTGAGAAGTACCGCGGGCAAAAATGGGCAAACGCTTC